GGTCTATATTAGGGTCTGTATTAATCTCTGTGTGTGAGGAGTGTCTCTAGGGTTTATATTAGGGTCTGTATTAATGTTTGTGTGTGAGGAGTGTCTCTAGGGTCTATATTAGGGTCTGTATTAATCTCTGTGTGTGAGGAGTGTCTCTAGGGTCTATATTAGGGTCTGTATTAATCTCTGTGTGTGAGGAGTGTCTCTGGGGTCTGTATTAATCTCTGTGTGTGAGGAGTGTCTCTGGGGTCTGTATTAGGGTCTGTATTAATCTCTGTGTGTGAGGAGTGTCTCTGGGAAAATAATCTCTCTCTACAGGCTCAGTATAGTTTCAGTGTGCTCTTGTCTTCAGTCAGTCTCTCAGTCGCTGTTTCAAAGGGGCTCTTCCTCGCTGTCTCTCTCCCTCTCCCTTTCTCCTTCCCTCCGCTCCATCTCCAGCCGCACCGGCCTCCGCTCGGCCAGGGAGAGAGAGAGAGCGGGCGGCGGGGAGTGAGTGAGCGTGTCGCTGGCTCTGCTGCCACTGCCACTGCTGCAAGCCTCACACTCCTCCTTTTGCCTCCCCTCCCCTTCACTTTCGGCCTTCCCTTCGTCTCTCTCGCCTTCTAACTCTTCTCCTTCTCTGGCTGTTTGCTCTTTGCGGGGGCCCCAAAGAGGAAATTCAGGCCCCCTGTCTCTTTCTCGCCCTCCTCCTGTCTGTCCAGCCCCGGTGGGATTTTTAGATGAGGGTTGAGATTGGGGGAGCTGCTTGTGTTTGTCTCTTCCTTGCCGGCTGGCATCCCGAAAGCTGGCCAACGGGGGACGCAGCCTCACACCACTCCTGGTCGACCCCTCAATGGCTTTCTGTAGCTGAAAAAGAGAGATAGAAGGAGTTAATTGGACAGTACTACTGACCCTAATATGGATTCTGAAGGCACGCTTTATACAGAAACAATAATACAGCCTGAAATATAGAAATGAGAGGCACTCCTCACACATAGAGGTTTAATACAGAGATTAATACAGACCCTAGAGAAACTCCTCACACACAGAGATTAATACAGACTCTAATATAGACCCTAGAGACACTCCTCACACACAGAGATTAATACAGACACTAATATAGACCCTAGAGACACTCCTCACACACAGAGATTAATACAGACCCTAATATAGACCCCAGAGACACTCCTCCCACACAGAGATTAATACAGACCCTAATACAGACCCTAGAGACACACCTCACACACAGAGATAAATACAGACCCTAATATAGACCCTAGAGACACTCCTCACACACAGAGATTAATACAGACCCTAATATAAACCCTAGAGACACACTTAATACAGACACTAATATAGATCCTTATATAGTATTATAATACTATTTAATATAGATAATATAACCTCATATAATATAGAAACAGTTTAGATTAATGCAGATCCTTACATACACACACCCTAGAATCACACAAACACCGACAGACTCTAGAGATTTTAGGGTCTCCATCTTGTAGTTCATTTCAGTACCTATCTCAGGGGGGGGCACTTCATGGAGAGAATCCTGTGCCACTATAATGCAGGAGACAGTGAGATGCCTGGCAGTATTACCTCTTTTAGTGCGACCACGCCCACCAGCTTCCCTATGCTCGTCACGTAGGCGTGGCTCAACCCCAGGAGAGAGAAGAGCGTGTGGGTCTGAACAAGAGAGGGGCCATCAGGAGGGACAGAAGGAAGAGCAAGGTCACAGTACAGTTTAGCACCTCTCTAGCCAACCCACAGCTACCCCACAATGTGCTTGTCTCACCCTGGCACCATTTATAAGATGCCTTTCTATAGCTTGGATACCTCGGCTTCTGTATTTCACATCAGCTGTTACAGCACAGACTGCCATCAAATGCAGATAGTGTGTAAATTAGAACTGAACGCAGACAATGCCAGTCTATAACACTACATTTACAGAAGCAGTAACACTCAAGGGTTCTAGACTGGAATTGCATGTATACAATGCTGTACAATGTTAGAAAGCAGACAGAAAAGACATTGGTGGGGTCTGCTGTCACTCACCTTGTGCAGGGATGTTCTCTCCACTAGCTGAAAGGGGGAGGGGTCTACTCGGATTTGATCAAAGTTGATAGGCTTGTCAAGCTCCGCCTCTTCCCATGCTTTGATCTAGACAAGGAGGCAACACTTAATCAATGAGCTTTTCTCCTTCGAGCACAAGGGCAAACAGCACCTCTGGGCCTCTCGTTCAGCAGACAGCAGCTGCACCAAAGCCTCTGACAACAGAACTGCATCTGTGACGTCTCTGCTGAAGGACGGAGCACCAGGAAGTAACTCGCTCAGGACCTCAACCACTAGGCCAGCAACACAAGAAACTAACTGCGGGCACCTGGCAAGGACTTGTTTCGTGTTGTTTACTTCTATTTTATTCCTATTCCTCCCTCCACCATCATTTTAATCCACGTAGAGTAGTAATGTGATTAATAAGTGGGTTCCTGTCTTGGTCATCCTGGCAACTAGGTGCGTCCAGGCAGGGGACATACACAAACTACGTGCTAGAAGAAATGGGCTCTCACATCAGAACACAGACATGCCAGTCAACTGAAACTAAGCCCCTGCGCACGCCATCTTGGCTCGAAACGTGCATCTGTGTAGACCCAGGCCCTGCTCTTAGCTTGAGCCAGAATGGAGCCCATCTCCTCGTCCAACACTTGTGGTTTCAGCTCACCTCTTCCGGGGTCATGTTGTCGGGCAGGGGCAGGGGCAGAGGGGCTGGCTCCTGTGGACAGAGAGACGAGGGTTTGTGCCGACTGTCTGCGGTCATGTCTGATTGTGTGTTGACGTTTTTTCATTGTATCTGGGTCCATGACTGTCTGGAGATCTCTCTCTTATTTTGATTTTCCGCTCGTCAGTGGGTCCGTACATCTGCCTGTCTGTCTGTACACGTTGGCCTTTTGCGCTTGTCCAGCTCTCTGACTGCATGTGTCCTGTGTCTCTGTGTGTCTTTCTGTCAGACACTGTGTTTATGTCACTTTACATTAGTGTCTCTGAATAAAGGTGGTCTCTTCATTGGCACGTGTAACAGCAGTAAAGCCTTTTCTCTTCCAGAGCTCTCTCCCACTGTGCCTGTCTCCTCCTGTGTCTTACCTGGGGGCGCTCATCTGTCTGGCTGTCCGTGGACTGACAGAACAGCCCCTGCAGTGTTGTCCTCACAGCCTCAAGGGGGCGCTTGTCTGTCAGAGAGAGAGAGAGACACTGTTACTGTCTGTCTGACAGTCTTATTTACAGTCTGTCCGTCTGTGTTAATGTGTCAGTTTGTCATACCCGTGCTCACCAGACAACGAGCAATCAAACCAGAATCGCCACAAACAACGCCAGTCCTGCCAACCAGTCAGTTACCACCACAACGTGCTATGAAAGACAATCAGTGCCACCTGTCAGATTGTAATTTCCTCCGATATTTATACCTATATATTTATATATATACCTATTTCTGCATTCTCAGTCACAGTCCCTGGTTAGTGGTCTTAGTGTTCTCAAGTCCCTTACCTTCCATGTCTTGACTGTGCTTGTTTTCACTGCATGTTCCTGGGTGACCCCTGAACTGAGCCTTATGTTGTTTCTGGTTTTGACCCTGGGATGCTGTTTCGACTTTTCGACCATGTCTCCCTGCGGAGCTGTACTCAGCGTCTCCCTGCGGAACTGTACTCAGTCTCCCTGTGGAGCTGTACCTAGTGTCTCCCTGCGGAGCTGCACTCAGTGTCTCCCTGCGGAGCTGCACTCAGCGTCTCCCTGCGGAGCTGCACTCAGCGTCTCCCTGCGGAGCTGCAC